CCCCAAAACCCCAAAACCCCAAAACCCCGGTGGGCATGGTAGGGGTTGAAAATTGGGAAAGAAAGTTCTAGAACAGATTAGACTGTTTACACCAAAATTTAGACAAGGCAGGTTTGGACTGAGACTTTTATTAGAGATTATTTAAAGTGCTGATAGAGTAAGTAGATCGACAGTTCGAAGAGGAATCAGGCAATACCGTTGCTGATGGTAATCAAGCAGAGGAACCATTTGAAGGTGCTATCAAGATGTTGTATCTCAAGGTTATCTCTCATGAATTTGGCTGGCACAAGAATAATCCAATATGTGATGCTTAGCTGAATAAGAACGATTATCATAAGCAAATAGTTTTTGTAGAGCGGCATCCGGAACTTAGTAAATAAGTTGAATATAATTCCGATGAAGATGTATTGGGGAGTCGATATCAAGAATATTGCTGTGGTTTCATATCCATCTGTAGTGTAATCTTCTGATTCAGGAGCCACTGTGAAATAGTCTTCTCCTCTCATTGCAAAATAACCTCCAATTTGAACACCAATGTTTATAAGAGATTGGCCAATAATGCTTAGAATAATAGTCCAGTGAAGAAGAGATTGAAATGGAAGTTCTGGAACAAGTTTTCTGCTTGTATTCATAAATCAGATACAGAAAATCATTGGAGAAATAAGTGAAAAGCCAATATAGTAAGTAATGATATAAAACAAAAATAATGATATCCATATTGAAGGTCGTCGAGGTTTGAAGTGCTGTAATACAAAATAATCATGCTTGACAGCTGAGTTGAAGACACCATAATTACAAACTTAAATAAAGTCGTACTCAAATCCAAGGCAGCTCTTCCTTGCTTCAACAATGTTATTACCGACGAGATATCCTGCTTTGTTGAAGTAAACGGTGCTGCAATTGAAGCTTCAGCTTCAGACAATGACAAACCAACGTCTGCAGTTTTCAAAGCTGTACAATCATTCGCTCCGTCACCTCACATTCCGACGATCTCTCCTTTGTCTTGCATTTGCTTGATGAGCGCTGCTTTCTGTTTGGGTGACATTCTTGAGAAAACTGCTCCGTCTTTCAGCACTTTGTTAAGGATTTCTTGATGATTGTATTTCCCATTTATGACAACTCCTTCAGGATTATCTGATAAATAGTCGAAGGCTTTGCCGTTAATACAAATGCTCAACGAATTTCCAGAGTCCATCAGCAAGTCAAAGGGGTCTTGGCTGTTATTTCTATTGTGTGGGTCGTTAGCAAGAAGTAGCTGGTTCTCAGCAGCTTCATCATCAGTATATTGCTGATCTCCACGCTCTTCATATAAGTCTGAAGATAGTTCCAGTTCATTATAAGAGTTGTTGTCGTTGACAAGTTCTCATTTCAACTTGCTGTTATTCTCATCAGACTCGTCAAGAAGTATTCTGAAATAGGAGTCCTCCGAAATGATGTATCAGTTCTTGGCCACAGAGCTTGCTGTTTCGCCGTTGTCTCCAGTTGCAATGATTCATCTGACTCCTCCTTCGTTGAGTTCTTGGATGCACTCAGCCGTGCAATCTTTAAGTTTGTTTTCGAATACAATGAAGCCCAAGAATGTCATTTCACATTCGAGTTCGTCTCTGTCTGGAGGGTGCTCAATGTTGAAGAACAGAGGATCGATTGACCTGTAAGCAAGCGAGATCATTCTGAGTCCCTTGCTAGATATTTTGTCGACTTCATCCATATAATTTTTAGGGAGCTTCGACTGGTCTCATCGTGAAAGAACTTGTTCAGGAGAACCTTTCATAAATCACACCAAAGATTCATCAATGTTATTCTTGGCAACCACACTCATGCGCTGGAGTTCAGACTGGAACTCATTCTTGAGCAAAATATTGAGTTTGAGGATCTCTCTGTTGAGTTCAGGGTCGTCTGGGATTAAATGTGATCCATTTTGAGGATAAAATGTTGCTAAGTATCTGCCTCCTTTATAAATATTTTGTTCTTCACTTTCATCCATGACCCAGTTGGACATTTGGAACATTTCTGTTTCGAGAGGATCTCCTACAATTTTCTGATTAATATGGGTTCAAGAATGACAACAGGCCATGCATTCAATGAATTTGCTAAAAACTTCTTCAGATTTATATTGGTCAGCACTTTGGTTTCTTTGGAATTTATTAACTTCTTCAGGGATATTTTTAATCATTCAATTAAAATGATTAATGTTAGAGAGCTTTATTCCTACTGCATTGAGCCCTTCTTGTGTTAAAGTCCCAGTTTTATCAAAAACGATTGTTTTGATTCTTCCAGCAAATTCTATCTTTCTTGGCTGAGAACAATAAATTTCACTTAAATATAATCTTGCGTATGAGAAAAGTATTCCTATGCTCATGCAGGCTGGCAAGAAAGCAGGAATCGCAACAGTTAAAGCATTCATTGTTCTTATCACAACATGATATGTACTGAAGTTGTCAATGAACTTTGGGAGTACAGTTCCCATAGCAGCTGCAGCTAATAAAAATGATACGAACAGGACATAGAATGCTTCAGAGTGGAAATCAAACCTCTTAACCGCAGAGTACAATATTGATCTTATCAAAGACCCTTTTGTTGTCAAAAAATTGGTTCTTGTCACCAAAGCGTATGGAGGAGTCTGGTAGTTCATCATTCTTGATCGCACAATCTCGGTTCCAGCAAATAAGAAATGCATTTTCTATATGATGAGGAATTCAAATTACTTGTTTGGTGTTCTCTATTGAGAAGTCATCTACAGTATGTTCATCACTTTTAGGAAGAGCTGTCTTGATGGCTGGGAGACTTTCACCAGTAAGCATGGCTTCATTAACAACACATTCACCTTCGAGGAGAATAGCATCACAAGGCATTCGTTTGTCTTCTGGAACAAGAATTATATCTCCCGGGACGAGTTCATTACTATTAATCTCAGTTGACTTAGAGTTTCCTTCAGATTCTAATCTAGTTACATACACTTCAGTTTCGTAGTGAGCCATTTCTTTGAGTCTTTTTAAACTTCTTCTTTTGTCATAAAGTTCTGAGAGAATAGCTGCAACTGTCAAGATCCCTAAATGTTAACAGAACTAATTCTTACCGATGACTGCTCCTGATTTATAGTAATCATTCATGAACCAGATGATCATACTGAATATTTGTATGAAGTAGTAGATATTGAAAATTTCTTCTACAATAATTCGATACGATGGCTTAATAATAATCTCCATAGTGCCTTCCCCATACTTCTCTAGGTTGGCGCTCATCTGATCATAAGTTAGCCCAAAGCTCAGAGAGTGAAGTGTACTGTAAACATGGTTAAAATCATAGGCGACTGCTTCAAATCGGTTGGTCTGATCAGAATATGCATAAGTGAGATATCTGTAGATAAACTTTATGAGTTTAAAGCATTCTTCATCTCCTTGTCTCTCTGTTATTTCTCCTTGAGAATCAGGCAGGCTGCTCCTGATCATGCCTATAAGAATTCAAAAAATTTCTTACTTTTCTTTAGCTCAACAATTGTAGATCCTTGTGTTTTATCATAAATTTTAAGATGCGTGGCTTTATCAGGCTATAAAGGTCTAAGTATTTCAGGTTTGTAAAGCATTAGAAAATATTTATGAACAAATAAAACAACTTAGGTTTGAACTTTAAGAGGAACATAAGATATCGTCTGTGTGATAAGAGGAGAGACCAAAATAGTAGCTTACACTTCATTTTATTTTGGTGTACATCATAAATATTTTAATATTTGTGACCCAAATGGATAGCAATGGGACTATCCCAACAGAGAGTATTCCAAATATGATGTATAAAGTCCACATCTTTAGCTTATTAATCTGAAGAGTAGTTACTTCTCAGCAATCTGATAGTCCGTATTCAATATTATTCGAAGATATAGAGATTTCAGTGGACCTCTCCCAATTTCTTTCATTTTGACCTGATTGCCTATTTTCAGATTTCTGAATAGTTTCTAATGGGTTATTATTAACCTCAGTGATAGTACTATTTCCTCCAGGAGAAGCAATACGATCTGGCTTATTCTCACTACAATATCTATCCATTTATATTAATTCAATAAAGGCATGATAGCAAGGGGTTTTGGGGTTTTGGGGTTTTGGGG